CCAATTGATTTTGTGCCTAAAATTTCTTAATAATAAAGAATAAAAATAAAAACGTATTGTTAGACTGCGGATCTTTATGCAAAATAAAATCTTTGTAAACGTACCTACAAAAATTGAACCTAAATAGGAATTTATTTTATTCTGAAAATATTACTACATGAACTCCACTTCAATCTCTTTTATATCCTTGCATACAGTTTGCATTTTGTAGGTTCTTGCCTACGAGTAGGTTCACCTACTTATCAATTTACTTGTTTGAATTTAATGTAAAAGAAACGACATTACTTTCTGATCTCTCTTAATAAATTCCGAATCTACCATTTTGAATTCTCGAAACCTGACTAAAGATTCCTGATCGAGGAATCTTCGAGGACCTAAAGAACTCCTTAGTGCCGATTATCGAGCAAATCGGTCGACCGGCATCGTTCGTGGCTCGAAGGGTTGACGCTTTCGCAAATATCCAAGGCGTTTGTTTAGAGACGAAGATCCTGGACAGGGTTATTTCTACGCGCGGGATAGAGGAAGGATAGAAAATTGCTCCGCGAAGGCAGTGACAGGTGTCACGAGGCGAAAGAAAGACAGCAGGAAGCTTTCGCGCCGGGGACAACACGTCCAACCGGTAAGCCGAGCTAACTATCGAGATCGGACGCCGTCGCTAATGGCTATTAATTAGATAAATGCTCGCTATATTAAGCGCTGCTGATGCTCGCCGTTCGAAATAGCCGGCGTCGCGGGGTAACGCGCAGTTTCGCGTTGTTTCGTCTATTACCCGTCATCGAAGGGTTGTTTTTGGAGTCTTTCGTTGCCGTCGTCAGAGCATCCTTCGTTTCGCGTCTGGATGAAAGGTACGAAAGGACGAAAGGACGAAAGGACGTTCACTGATAGGTATTAGGGGTCGGAGGGCGAAGCTTCCTCAAATTAATTCCAAGAATGCAACTTTTGCGACTTTTGAAAATTTGCGAAAACGATCATCTATGCTTTTTATTTTGATCTTAAAGACGCCAGTGAGACGAATGTGACGTTCGACTCGTGGTCGAAGCGAAATTCTCTTGCGGTCCAATATGACTCGAGAGTGACGAGTCAGAACCAATACGACTGGAGCAATTTTAGTAGGCACGCTCGCGAAGATTTTATTTTGCATAAAGATCCACACTCTAATACTATATTTTTATTTTTATTCTTTATTATTGATACATTTTTGGCACAAAATCAATCGGTACACGGTGAACTGATGAATAATAAACAAGTATCGACATTCGCAGAAATGACATTACTTTCTGGTCCTCTTAATATATATTTATCCATTTATAAAAAATTTGAAAGTGTAAGAACCTACGAAAAGCAAACAATATGCAAGAATATAAAAAAGATTGAAAATAGAGTTCATGCTATAATATTCGCAGAATAAAATAAAATCCTATTTAGGTTCAATTTTTGTAGCTAAGCCCGCGATGATTTTATTTTGCATAAAGATTTTTATTTTTATTCTTTATTATTAATACATTTTTGGCACAAAATCAATCGGTACACGGTGAACTGATAAATAATAAACAAGTATCGACATTCGCAGAAATGACATTACTTTCTGGCCCCCTTAATATATCTATTTATTCTTCTACGTCTTTCGATGGTCGTTAATTTATAGCAGTGCTTCCGGTAAAATTCTTAAAAATACTTCAAAGTGGTCCCGATCGCGCACCTACGTTTCCACTCCGATATACACACTATAATCCTATAAAAAATACATTCGTCTCATAAACAAGATAAACAGCTATCACGTTGTACAAATGATACACCCGACAAAAAATCTGATAACTTCCGAAGGGAACTCGATAATCAAAAAATTCCTGCGCCATGTCGCAGCCAAAACCCTCTGAAACGAATCAGAAACACACAGAAGGCGTACGAAAATTGTCCACCTCACCGCCTCTTCTCGCAAATGCATTTTCGCATCCCAAAGTTCACGGTGTCGCGTCAACTCAGGCGATGATTCACGCGCGTTCGTTTTTCTCCGTCGGCTTGATTCGCCCTCGAACGAGCTTTTAGATCGTATTCCTGGCAAACGAATTCGCCTGGGTGCAATTCAACGACTGACTAACTGAGTCCGACCTCTGTCCTTTGCCTCGCTCCGTCTCTATCCGCGATGATTCACCTGCGAAACGGAACACAGCCGTGTTTCCAGGTAAAGCTCTCTCGGAAATGGAAGAAAAGACTCGTTTGCTCGTGTCCGCGGTCTTTGATTGTATCGATGAGCACCCGACGCGAACGTGTATACATATAACAGAGCGTGCACGTCGAACGTTATTAGCTCCTTTCCTCTCGCTTACGTCAATTCTGTCCGCGCGCGTTGCCTGCAGCGCGGAGCTTGTCGGACGCGTTATTTATACGTCGGAGCTGCGAAATGGGCTGGCCGACGATCGAAATTCATATCGATATCTCGTTGGAAACCAGCCTTGGAGGATGATCGATCGATCCGGCGAGGAATCGCCCACGGGTCCAGAGTTCGGAGGAATACGAGTCCGCTTTGATGAGCCTTTGATGTTTGGCAAAGAAAGGAAATTCGAGTCTTTTTTGGGGGGTAGAGGAGGGTGGAGTACGTATTTTAGAAGGTATGTCTAGAGTCTCGTGGCTCGAGTATTGAGATTCGAAGCGTTCGAGGTTTACCCTAATCGCGTTGATTCTAGCTTGTTGTTTTCCAATCGTGTTAGTCCGCAGGAAAAATTTCGTATCGATCGCGAAAGCAACGGTATATTTCCTTGTCCGACGTCTTCGAGACCAAAGAAAAAAGCGTAGGTCATGGATACCTTCAATTTTCAGTTTTATTAATCCTTTGCACTCGAGGCCTTTTTTTCTGGGATAGCCAATGACGCGATATAGCCAGTATTAACCCTTGCATTCGAGGCTCTGCACTTGAAGCTCAGATTAACTTCGAAAATAAGATCCTTAATTCGAGATTTGAGAATCAGGTGACCTTTGCCTCAACGCCAATCATTTTATTGGCACTTCGAATTCCAAAGAAATTAAACCTAAAGAAAACGTAGAGGTGACTGTGAGTCACCTCTCGAGTGCAAAGGGTTAACCTTCCAGAAATATATATAATGTTGATCAAGATTTGAATTTACTTAAAGTTTATCACCGATGATATCCTGTTTACTTCGATTGTAATTTCGTAATTGGAAACGACAAGGTACGAAAATGTCAGCGAACATTTCCTCGAGGCGGTCGATACAGCACGGTGCAAGGAAAGACTAGCCAGCTGCTTTCGTCCCGTTATCTCCCGCGTCAGATTTATCGAGATAATCTCGGCACGACAACGTACAGCACTCCGATTTTATTGGTTCGTTTCGATCACGAACAGCCGTATCGAACGCACCGCGACGGAAACCGCGGATCGAGGTCTCTATGCTTGGGGAATGATTATTTATCGTCCACTATCGGTGCTTATTATGCACTAAAATTCACGATAGCGGAATGTTTAGGCTGACTCGTCGATCATGGCAATGTTGCGTTAGAGGTGCGGCATGTAGGGTTTGGGGAGCACAGGTGTCGCTTGAATGGAAACTTTGCTCGTCGAGGCTCCGTTAGAGTCGATATCTCCAGAAACTAAGTTGCCCATAACTTCAGTCAGACCACAAGGAGTATCCCAAAAAAGGATTCACTTGGATCACACAAGAATAGAAGTTACAGGGGAAATCACAAACAAACGAATATTTAATTCAACATTAAATAAATTCGCACCAGTGAACCACTCGTTATAGCCAATATCTAAGTAGTCTATACCTTTAGTCAGACCACAAGGAGTATCCCAAAAAAGGATTCACTTAAATCACACAAGAATAGAAGAAGTTACAGGGGAAATCACAAACAAACAAATATTTAATTCAACATTAATGAATTCGCACCAGTGAACCACTCGTTATAGTCAATATATAAATAGTCTATACCTTTAGTCAGACCACAAGGAGTACCCAAAAAAGGATTCACTTAAATCACACAAGAATAGGAGAAGTTACAGGGGAAATCACAAACAAACAAATTTTTCATTCTACATTAAATAAATTCACACCAGTGACACGTGCCTTGAAAATCTTTAATATCAAAGGATCAGTCCTTTTTCGCGCGATAAACAAGTGTAGGTCGCATGGATGATCCTCCTCCCTATAAATAACCGTGTGACTTCGTGAACCGTGGCGATTTCCGCAATGAAAATAAATCCAACCGCGCGCGTAACCGTCGCGGTACGCTCGTGGTCGTCAGTTCGCGTCTATTCGCAATCATTTTTCCGTGGACCGCTCGTCGATAATCAAACAAACCATGGGCCTTCATTCCGTGCGGATTATAAACTCGATGCGCGAGCCGGGAAGCGGCAATTTCGCGATGTTGCTACAAACGTCCTGCGATCCTTCTCCCTGTCGTCTAATTTGCACCATTCTTCTTGTTTTATGATCCTCGTTCGCTGGAAACTGTTAACACGCTGTTTTTGAGGTACAAGGTACTATCTTTTATTTTACCAGATGGATGTAAATTAAGAGTTTATTCAATTTGTTATATCCAGCTTGAGAATTTTATGCGCTCGTAATATTCTCGTGTATTTTCTCTACGGCGAATATATTTATCCAGACAGAGAGTGCACAGATAGTAAGGTAGAGGACTGTGTCGACAATGCAGGGCACTCTGTATCATAGACGATAATACAGAGCACTGCGCTGGCAATGTAGAACTCTCCATTGATAAACACTGCTATTAGGGTCCTGCCATTGCCGAGTCTTATCGACACAGTGCTCTGCAGTGCCGACAAACAGCTCTACCTTACCATTCCTACTAAAATAGACAACCGAGTCCCACGTTTCGCGAGGAGTAGACAGGAGATGGCACAGGCAAACGCGAGCTCGAATAGTTTTCTTTCCACGCGAGAAGAACGTTCGATCATCCCGACGTTTTCCCATCGTTCCACGATTATCTTTTTGCTCAGAGAAAGTATCTCGCGCATAATTTTCCAGAGACCAATTGCGTTTGCCCGCGAGCATTTTGCACGTTCTCACCTGGCTGGTGATCGTCGCTGGATGACTCAGACGTCAGTCACTCCACGTGTGGGGCGATAACGCGTAAGACAAAGAGAACTCGTGGCTAATTACTTCAGATACCTCCGAAGGACGTTTGTATAAGTCATCGCTGTATACAGTGTCAAGTTCGTGAAATCAGAAGGCGCTACTCCGCAAAACGTACATATTCTATACCTGCAAGAGTCTACCGAATACTCCCAACCACAATTTGTGCTAGCTACATTTAGAAGCCACCTACTCAGAGAAGATCGCAGTTCAAAAATGTCAAAGGCCTCGGGGTCGGAAACGATGAGGACCAGAGTTTCATCCTGAACGACAAACTGCAGAGGCGTCACACGACGCCTCAGTTGCTCCCAGGCGCGGGCCCCAGGATGAGTCCGAAAGGACCCAGCCAGGAGGGTCCGAAGATGGAAGTGAGGGTGTCCTGCACGACAGGTCCTGGCGGGGAACCCCAGGGGATCCGAGTGAGAATCCCCGAGCCCAAGAAGAGGCCCATGAGCCCTCCTCTGATGGAGACGATGCGCGCCAGGTGTCCCTCTGTGCCCGAGAAGGAGTTCTACCGGAAGACCTCGTCCCTGGATCGTCGAGACAGGTACCCCACGTTGTCAGGGGCCGAGATCAAGAGGGGACTGATCCCTGGATCCGCGGATCTGCCACGTGGCAAGAGGAACCCCATGCTGGACAGGAAGAACCGTTTTCCGACGATATCAGGCGCGGAACTGAAGAGGAGCATCGCTATCGGAAGGTGTCCTCTGGAGGATGGGCTAGATCTCAGCCTGGCACCCTGGCCAGGGATGAAGTGGGCCTGCGTGAGGGTGTTGCATCTGTACTGTAAGGTGTTTGGCCAGTTCGAGCTGTTCGAGCTGATCGTTAGGTAATTGAACCAGAGAATGCGCATGGCTTCGTTTGCGAACGATTCAGTTTAGGCGTGGATTTATTGCAATGGTGTGTTTATCGCTTTGGCTAGCCGTTGACGTTTGCTTTTGTGTTGGATGAATGCACTTTGTTCGCCATCGACTGACAAGGAACTTTTACTGTGTCGATAAGAGTCGATACTCCATAATCCACAGACGGTCACGTAGATTGTCCTGCTGGTAACGTAGGTCACTCTATCGGTAAGTCCCTGACTAGCTAGAAACCTATATTACCGAGTCTCCCGCCTTCTATTTGCCTCGCATGCTGATAATCGAGGGTTTTCGCTATCGAGCATCACTCGAGGTACTCTTGTGCTTCCATAGATTGCGACGTGAGATCGTTAACTTTATTTTGAAGCAATTTATGCAAACTAGAACCCATCGAAGATACTTCCCCTTAAACTTCTCTTTTCTTCGTCTCTTCTCGCTGCCATCGCATTAATATTACTCGATTCCTTTTTACGTTTTCTGGGATTCCGCTCGAACGACGTCGCTTACAAGCGTTTACGCGTGTATAACACCCATCTCGGAATGTCGGGACAAATCGCTCGGTTTATATATCGTCTGAGGAATTAATTGCGTCGCTATAGTCCCCTCGACCGGACCAATGGACGCAAATAGGCGCGCGGCAGCTCGTAAATTATCCGCTGAAAATTTTTACCGCGCTTTAAACCTCTTAAAGCTTCTCTCGCGACTCTTCCAAACACTCTTCTCGAACAATAACGCTTCCATTAGTCACTGTACGCATAAAAAAAAAAAGAAACTAGGATTAGAAATTAGAATTTAGGGGAACCCACGCCCACGGTACCATACTCTCGGTATCTCGGCCGTTTTCTCGAATCTCCAGAGCACTTAATTCGTGGAAATGTAGAAGCAGAGTCGAAGGAAAAGGTTCCTCCCTCTGGCAGTTACTTTTTACGAACGCGGACCAGATTCGAAAGATAAACGAAAACGGCGAATACACCGTGTCCCAATTTCGTCCCGTCTTTCTCCGAGGAAAGAACCCTCGACGAATTTACGATCCGCAAGTTTGTATCCGTTTGTATCCGTATCGATTCGGCATCGACACCCGACCACGCGGCACGCGCTAATGGCTGCCTCGAACGTCGATCGTGCATAATCAAGGGGATGCATTTGCCAGAGGCATTCATCGCCGTATCACCGCACCCTTCCGGACGTGTCAGCTCGAAGGTCGCCGCGCCGCGACCTTCCCCTTCCCCTCGTTTCTGCATTCGTCGTCGATAACGCCGCGATAAGCGCTCTCGGACGACTCGCTACCCCCGAGACCCTTATCTCGGCCGAGGGAGGAACGGGCGAAAAGTAAAACACTACAGAGGCGGGAGTGTTCCGTCGAGGAGGAGTCCGCTCGTAAATTCGCCGAATCCGATTTACGGTGACAAGTCGAAGGGACAGGCGGGGAAACTTAGCCGCGGAATCGGCGCTGAGGAGCGCTCGTTAAATTTAACAGTGCCGGTAGGCGCATTAATGGGCTGCCATAAAGTTAGGCTTCATGGAAACGCGATCCAGCCACGGGAGCGTCATTATTCGTAACGCGCTGGTTATGACCTGAATTATTTCATTTTCTTTCGGGCTATCTCTCGAAACGGCAAGTCCCGCGTAAAAGAAAAATTTACAGAATTTGCGTACACGCAAGAGTTAGAGAGAATGAAAATCTAACTAACTAAACTAACTGATCGCGAACCGCCACCATACTTACGCTGTACCATACTTAATGATTTTCCGCGACAAGACATATTTTTTTTCTCAGAAAACCACTTCGTTGCTTTGCGACGCACTAAGACTAAATTGTAACGGAATATATTTTTTAATCGACTTCGAAACGGAGAAGGTTACTCGATTCGATACGTATATATTTTTTTTTTTTTTTTTTATGTTACTACAGTAAAATCTTATACGCAGAAATTTGTATAACGATAAATGCACAGAAACCATCCCCACTGCGGACCACTAATAATACCAGCTACGGCTCCTTGATGTTCTCCCTGCTAATCTAAATCTAGTTTCACTTGACGAGAAACGACTTTCTCGTTAACGAATCCGACGACCTTCGCGAATCACGCGGTCGAAGAAACGATTGTTCGCGAAGGAAGAGGCTCGCGACACCTTTATGAAATTATTCCTCCGGGGCGGAGCGAAACGGTCGCCGTAATGTCACGTCCGTAATGCCAGGGAAACGGTCGCCTTGTTTGCCAGCGGACCGTAACTCGCGACTCGCGAAGAGCTTTTGAGCGATAAAGAGTTTCACTTGTGCCCTCCTCCTTTTTCCGTCCTTGTTACGGAGCGATAACGTCGGATCTCTACTTTAGACGGACGTCCAAAGATATTTCATGGAGTCTACGAATCTTAGGGTGGCTGTAAATTAACGTTGTCGCCTGCGAATCGATCAGGAAGATCCGTCGTTGTGTAAACCACCTGATTTTTATTATCTCGAATAACTCTCGAGTCGACTGCTCCGCGCGAAATTATTTTATACACGAGGTGTCGCGTTTGTTCAACGAATTCCCCTTTGTTTATCGAAGAGACGTCAGAGAAAGATGTTTGTATTAATTAGACGATTAGCAGGACGCGCGTTGCAGAGCGCAATAAAACTCGATTAGAGGCTTTATCAGGGCTGAGGCGTATCTGGAGTTAATGAAACACCACGGACAAATATTTATCGTCCGTGATATCCTCGGTCTAATAGATACGTTCAACAAGCTGTTAACATCCGCTCCACATATACTCGGGGAGAACGAATAACTTTTCTAAGCGATGGGGAGGGAGAGAGTATTAGTCAGAGTATTAGTCTTCTCTAGGATTTTTGTTTAACCCTCTGTTGCGTGAATCTCGTTTTATTTTTCCTTTCGAAGGTTTAGCGTGCATACCGATATTAAACACTTCGTTTCGACGTGTCGATTTTTATTCACCGAGACTAACTATATATATATAGGCCTATGTGAAAGGACTAGGGCTCGGTATTACTATCGATACCATTGGTTAAAGAAGGGGCCAGTCTCGAGAGATTCTGTTTTCTGTTCCAGAAAGAATTGCACGAGTTGCAAGTGTCCCAGAGAGGCGCACGACGTGTGCCACGAGGAATGGGTGTCAGTTAGGTCTCGATTGGGCCTCAAAGGCGATGAGTCCTCCTCGCCAGTTGGTTTCGACCCCAGAGAGAAGGGCCTGGCTTGGGCACCAC